TTTTTGTTGACTCGTAAATTCCTCCCAAAGTCTTCCATTAAAAACAAAAGGTAAAATTGGGTGACCATCGTGTCAAACTCGAAGGCATCTTTGTTTATTGCCATTATTCTTTATCTTTAAATGTGCTAGCCTAGGTATATATTCTTCCATTTTTATAGTTGATGACCCAAGACGAGATCTTGTAATTCAGATTGTAGTGCGAAGTCTCGACTTTATTTGCTCGAAAGTATTGACGAAGAAAAAAACAAGAAAGCGTACTTATCAAATAATATCCAATCTCGTGTATCACACATTTTATCATCACTATTTTCTTTCTTTTATGTACAGGAGAAAGGTTGTTAAGGGAATATCCTTTGATACCATTGGGCATCAAATTAATTTTTGCTTTTTGAACAAGTAAAAGAATGACTTTTGATGAACATGCTTGGTCTTTCCATTCACGGTTCCAAACAAGAGTCTTGCTGCTTGTACATACTTTGGTGTACATCAAGATATCCACCTTCCAATCTCTTACATGGGAGTGGGGCCCACTTGAAGAAAATATTTTTTATTCAAGTGGGTCCCACCCTCATGTGAGAGGGTAGATAAACTCTCCAAACAAAAGCCACTTTTCTCCATTTGGTTTGAATTAAATTCCGATTAAAATTTCAAGTAAAGTCAACAATTAATTTTAATCATATTTTATGAGATTTACAATTTTCCAACCACATATTTCATCAGTTTTTATCAAAATATACTAAAAATTTGATTTTAATCTCTACCAAATAGTTCCTAAATTTCATATCCGACCTCAATCTAACTTTTACCTAAAAAAACTATAATACATTTCTACGACAAACTTTTACATTTTTGAACATTACAATTTATCAGAGGCGGAGTTAGTTGGGACAATTTTTTTATACAGGCTCATCCATAAAAACAATAAAAATTTCATTTTTGTTTTTTTACCTTAGAAAAACTAAATAGGCTTAGAAAACTTGAGCCCCGTCTCTCCGCCCCTTGTATTGACAAGATATTCGGCACAATCATTTTCTTGTGTTTAATATGTGCATGATGTAACAACGATTATCTAAGATAAGAAAGAGACAATTCTCAAATCAGAATCTGTTTAGATTTTCAATTATACTCGATTTAACTGAACGATATAACGGACAAAATGAATAAATGGCCATACTTGGTAAGAGTTATTGTGCATGGTTTATTGGGGTTGGTGGTATAGGACCATTCATTCCAAAATACAAACAAGAAATGAAAGTTGGTATAGACCAAATCAGAGTCACGTATTTGAATAAACTATCAAATGAATGCCTCAAATTACTATAATACCACTCAACTACCTACTCCATCTCCACCAACACCCAACAGTTACCCATCTCCACCCACCCCGCAAAGGTGGGTCCCATATTAACTCGCCCTTCTCACCAAACACACGAAATTCATAATATAAAACCCCCTCCATGTTCATTCTCCATTTCCCCAGGTACAACCTCTACAAAGCACAAAAGTACAACCTTCGTTAACCCTTCAATGGCGCTAGCTGCACATAACTCTCTTCTTCCCAACAAATCTTCTCTTATTCCTCAAACCCAAAATTATCTTTACACCAATTCTTCCTCTCTTACCGTCAGATCTACAGCCAAACGCATTTTAACCGTCCATGCTGCGGACTCTTCAAGTTCCAAAAACCCCATTGTCTCAGAATCCAAGTCTCTCAAGCCAACGCCGCCGTCTGCAGCCGCCGCCGCAACAGCCACCCTAGATACCAAGGCTCCTTCCAAGAAATGGGTGTTGGACAGCTGGAAATCTAAGAAAGCGTTGCAGCTGCCGGAATACCCGAACGCTGAGGAGCTTGAGTCGGTTCTCAAGACCCTTGATGACTTTCCTCCGATTGTGTTCGCCGGAGAGGCGCGGAGCCTCGAGGAGCGGCTAGGAGAAGCTGCCCTGGGCAATGCATTCCTTCTGCAAGGTGGGGATTGTGCTGAGAGCTT